CTTGGTCTGTGCTCGCCTCCGTGTGTGCCCCCCCCAGCACCCCTCTGCAGCATCCTCCCTGTGGTGGTGGTTCTTCCGCCGGCTCCTGCCACGCTGGGAATGGGCACAGGGGATGGATCACTACATGATTCCCTGTTCTGTTCATCCCCTCGGGGGCACCTGGCAGTGGCCACTGTCAGAGGACAGGATACTGGGCTAGATGGACCTTTGGGCTGACCCACTAGGGCCGCTCCTATGTGCTCTCCCTGCTTATGCCCCCCCCCAGCACGCATTCCTGCAACATGTGCTGCCAGGGGTAGGTTGCTCGTCTGCAAATCGGGAGAGTGGTGTTCAGTTCCCAGATCTGCTACTGGTTTCCTGTGTAACCTTGACAAGTCATCAAGTCAGCGCGGCCTACTACACTCCAGAGCTAGGTCAGCGTAAGGCAGCTTGTGTCTACACTGAGGGCTTCAGAGTAGCAGCCGTGTTAGTCTGTATCCGCAAAAAGAACAGGAGTACTTGTGGCACCTTAGAGACTAACAAATTTATTAGAGCATAAGCTTTCGTGGGCTACAACCCACTTCTTCGGATGCATCACCAGTGACACACGGAGCATAGTGTGGACATGCAAAAGCAATTTAATTACTGTGGTGGCTGTAGGTTGATGTAACTTAGATTGACTTAATTTTGTAGTGTAGACTTGCTTTGTGTGCCTTGCTTCCCAATCTTTCCAGTGGGGATAACAGCATTGCCTACGTTGGGGATAAATACATTAAAGCTTCTCAGATGCTCAGGTACTCCAGAAATGGGCTGTGTAAGACCTTAAGATAGATAAATACACAACAGTGGCATTTTTGCCCCTTCAGCACTCATAATGAGTATCCTTTTATTTCAGTTAAATAATCTAATTTGGACCTGAAACCTGCGAATTGCTGAGTGTGACTGAGCCCCGCATTGTAGTCAATGGGGCTCCACACCTAATAAATTTTTGGATTAAGGTCTAAATTACATTTCTTAATGAAATTAATAAGTATGTGCCTGTTTGTAAAATAATTGTTTTGAGACAAATATTTGGAGAACCTCAGTCTTCAAAATTAAGTCTGTTTGAAGTTAATAACTGTTAAATAGCACTGTGAAACACTAAACATTACTGTACTAGGACATATTGAACAGCTTGTTGAACAGCAGGGATGATGTGAATGTCATATTTACAAAGCTGAGTGGACTAAATTTAGGAAGCATGAAGTAAGATGGACACTTGTGATTTCTTTGATTATGTAGAAGTTGTGCACTGTATGCTTCAGATTAATTGGGGTTTTGTTGCTTGGGTTTTTAGCTTCTTGTTTGGTTTGGGGGTCGGTTTGCAGCACACATCAGAGCTATCCAGTGTCTTGTACATTACTCATTTAAAAAAACATTTGGGGGGAATATTAAGAGATTTCTTTAAACATCTGGAAAACATGCAGATGTTTTCTGGAAGTGCCATGGGAGACTAAATGTATTGTTAAGCATGTACGTAGTATTTGTTTAAAAGGTTTCCATGTCAGAAGGAGAGACTTTCCTGACAGTTGCCATTTAGATTTTCCCAAATATTCCAAATATCAGATTTTTCAAAACTTTATTGAGTTGCTTTTTCCCTATGTTTTTCAGAAGGTCTTGTATCTAAAGGCAACACTGTCTACAGCATAAAATATTGGAAATGGGTAGTTAGACCTTGATCCTGTAATTCACTCTACACAGGCAGACCGCTACGCCCATGTGGAGCTTCGCTGAAATCAGTTGGGGTCTGTCCACTCAACAAGTAGCAGGATCATGGCCTTAGTATTTGTATTTTTGAAACACCAGTACACAATGGGCACCACAGAACTTTTAAGGCATTGGAACAGTGTCCCCACAGCAATTTAGCACATGACAGGTGAAAGCACTGTAGATTTACATCCCTGTTCGCCATGTACGTAGTCTTCATGTAGGCATGCCCTAAGGCAGATTCTTCATCATGAATCTTTTCGTCTATTTTCAGATGCCTTTTTCCATCCTGAACCTCTGCAGTTGCTGCAACAAAAGTATAGTTAGCAAAGTAGCGAGCAGGGACCTACAACTGATGTTGCAGCACAAGTTTTCAGAGGATTAAGTAATAGAAAGACATTTCCCTCTTCCATTTTTACACTATCACTGCTTATAAGTATAGCTCCAATTTGATTTAAGGCTTGGATTTTAATTTGAAATATATACTACTGTACATTTGCATGTTCACATAATATTGACAATGTTAGTTTGGTAGTTATGTAGAGTGAGTTAGTAGAAAACAGACATTCAAAAGTCACGTTTTTTTTAATCCCAGAAGATAAATTTGCTTTTTTGTAGATCGTACAGAGGTTAATGCGGGATGAGAGATTTACCTTCAGATCCTGCTTTTCTGTGTTAATCTTTTAAATTTGATTTTGAGTTACTGTCCTGAGGATGGGGGAAGTAATTTATTTTCCATTCCTACAATTTTACTGTTTGTTTCCAATGTGCTAGTCAGAAAAGCCTGAAGTATTAGAACTGGTAGATATACCTGTTAGTCCTTACCTGTAAATGTAACTAAGCCCTAAAATTAAGGCATTAAAGTTGATGGACAAAATTTAAATGTTTTGTGAGTGGGTAATAAGTTGTATTCCTGTTTAAGACGTGCTGAATTGGGGCCATTATGTTCAATGAGGCTGAGAAATGATTGCACTGGACAACATAACACAGAATTTCATGACTTTCCATATTTAAAATCTCAATCATAACATTACATTAATGAAGTTCTCTGAATTTATTGTGTAAATATTTGATATTGAAATGAGCTAGTGGGTGGGTGATCAAACGGATTGAGCAGTATGAAGTTTGCTATTTGCCTCATGCATTTATTTATTTCATTGGATTTATCAGACAAGAGGCATCTCTCATAGTTGATTGAAAATACAATAGATGAATACAATAGATTCATAGATTCTAGGACTGGAAGGGACCTCGAGAGGTCATCGAGTCCAGTCCCCTGCCCTCATGGCAGGGCCAAATACTGTCTAGACCATCCCGGATAGACATTTATCTAACCTACTCTTAAATATCTCCAGAGATGGAGATTCCACAACCTCCCTAGGCAGTTTATTCCAGTGTTTAACCACACTGACAGTTAGGAACTTTTTCCTAATGTCCAACCTAAACCTCCCTTGCTGCAGTTTAAGCCCATTGCTTCTTATTCTATCCTTAGAGGCTAAGGTGAACAAGTTTTCTCCCTCCTCCTTATGACACCCTTTCAGAGCTTGTTTCAGAAGTTAGGGTCAAATCTGTCTTCTAGATCCAGATTCATTCCTTCTAGCAATATGGAGCTTTACACCTAGGTAAATATAGATTTCCAAAGCTCAGATGACGTTCAGCAAGTTTGTCATAAATGTCATAAGCCATCTATCTGTTAGACAAAATTATACTTAGTGGTTTCCTATTGAGCCAGAAACAGCAGTATAGCCACTTCAATCTTGCTCTGTTCCAAGCACACTGGACTATTTACTGTTTCTTCAAAAGAAGTGTCGGGTGGCTTTCGCCTCTGTTGAGATTAATCCTTTTACTGCAGGAGTTTTTCATCAAGTTCTAAGAAGCTTGCTTTTGTTCACCATACTGTAAATAAATAAATAAATAAGCAAAACACCCTAATTACAGGATATCTTCTCTTTGGGCTTGTGCTCCTAACAAGAGACAGGTGAGATTTCTCCCTTAGCTCTGAAGATTTTTGGGTTTCCGCAAATTCCAGCTTCCCAGGTAAAACTGCCCCCACCACAACACCATGTACAGGTGGTACCAAGAGAAATTTGGTGTGATGCAGCCAATGCTCTTGATCTCTGACCACTTTTCAGCAAAGTCTCTGGCTGTTTGGCTCCAGCCTATTGTATTGTTTTATTTTGAGATGTGTTTCAATCTTTTGAGTCATAATAAGTGGGAATATTTTGATGACTGTATGTTTAAGGAACAAGAAATTACTTGTAACTTTGTTTCTTTGAAGTTAACTTTTTACAGGATTCCCACTTACCTATCTCACCTCCCCTCACAGTTTGCAGTTCCATTCCAAGTTGATATATTCCTGGTAGGACATTATACCATGTCCATCCTTGAAATGAGGAGGTGGCTTTCTGTCAGCACTTGCAAGATTCCTTGTTCTCGGGAGACATAGGACTCCACTCCTTCACTTCTACCTGCCTTTTTTTAGACAAGTTCTACTACTCATTTAAAATGGTTTCTGGGGTATCAGAAGTCTCCTCTGCCACAACGTTACTCCAATACTGTATCAAAACTATTTGCATGTTATCATGACTTTAGTAATGTATGATGTAAATTTCTCACTGTATACCAGTAAAAAAAGAACTCGTGGTTCAGCTAAGAAATAAATATTTCATAGAATCATAAAATATCAGGGTTGGAAGAGACCTCAGGAGGTCATCTAGTCCAACCCCCCGCTCAAAGCAGGACCAACCACAACTAAATCATTCCAGCCAGGGCTTTGTCAAGCCGAACCTTAAAAAGTTTTAAGTGTGAGAAGATGGAAAGTTTACCTTGCCCTCTTTGCCTGAGTGATAAGAGAAGGAGCAGTGTTAAATCTAACTGGATTGTGGGGATGCCTGGAATTATATTAGATAAAATGTGTTTTCATTATACTTAAAATAAGTAAGAATAGCAAATCTTTCTGGGGTTTTTTCATGGTTTACCTGATGACTTCTCAGTGAGATTTTCTGTTTTTAGAGAACACACCATACAACCCTGACTTTTATCACAACATAGTTGATCACAGCATGATACCACTTCTATTTTATCTGACAAAATGTTTTATACATTGACATTTTTGTGCAGAATAGATCATTTTGAACTTCTCTTCTTATTTTTAATCAGGTGAGAAACCAATAAATAAAAACAAGCTGTTGATTTCAAGATTTTATAGTGAAAGAGAATTGGAGGAAACTGTGTTTGAGCTGATTGCTTCTAGTGACAACTCTGATACTTGGACCATGGAACAAAGAGAAAACATCAGTGATAAGAGTAAAACAGGAGTCTTCACTGAGCCATCCTATGCAAAGTCTGATGAAATTGACTGTGTTGATACTCTGTTCGGTGAACTTGCAGAGGGCGTCAACTGCTCTGTTTCAGGCCAGGCATGTTCCATAAATGTCTCAGAATTCAAGTTTCCAGATGAAAGCTTAGCTTGTTTCAGTTCATCACTAGATGCAGAACTTGAAACTTACAATAAAATAAGAGAGAGGATTTCCAAAGTGTATGAAGACAAAAGTGAAGCTGGTATGTTGGGAAAGGTCTGCAACAATATACATTTCAGTTACAAGGAGAGTGACGACAAACCCAAGAGTGATGTAGATGAAGACTCACAACTAGAGTATCACAGTGCTGAAGAGCAAGATTATTCTGGTCAAAATACCTCATATATGCCTTTTGCGCAAATTAAAACTCCAAGGACACAAAATTCAGAAGCTCTGGAGTTGGTAGAGCCACTTTATGAAGTTATATGTGATGGAGCCAAAGGTGGGCAAAATCCTGTTAGCAAATTAGGTGATGGTTCTTTTGCCTTGGATTATGGTGCTGTTGATGAGTTTTATAATAAAGCAGCTATATCAGAATTCTCAAAAACATCTCAGGACTTCATATCACTGATGGATTACAAAGGCCTGAAATGTGAAAATCATGAAGAGGAACAAACTGAAGCTACATATCATAGTAAACTTGGTGAAAATTCCTTTGAAAGTGATACTGTTGTGAATAGAGAAAGGGCTTATCAAAAATCACTCTCCATGAGCAGTTCAGAAAATCAACAAAAGATGGAGGCTGTTTCTTTTTGTGATGTTGCACAGTCATCACAAATGGCTATAAAAAAAGGGTTTAAAATGAAAGATACTAACAGCATGTTGCAGAAGCATGGAAATACTTGTGTATTACCACGGGAAAGACCTTCTGTGACATCCACACAGATTTCTAGCAAAAATGCAGACGATTCAATTTCTTGTAGTTGTGAAGAATCATTTTTGTCTGCATTTAATTCTGTTTGTCATGATTGCAGCCAGAAGACTGTTGAAAGGAAACCAGATTTTTCTTTTGCACTTCCCAGAATTCCAATGAAAGATGGTCATTTGTCTTGTGTGGAAGTTCTAGATAAGTATGCTGGTAATAGTACCAGACATCAAGTAGATTTTCCTGACTCAGAAATCAAGTGCCTCACATGCTTGAATAATGCTACAAGTAATAATAAAGTTACAGTTAACCAGACTGTTGATGCAAGTTCTGATTTTAGGGCTTGTTTCACTACAAGCAGAGCTACTAGTGCTAATGCTTCTGTGGTATCTAAAGCAAACAACACAAAGTTAACAATGATGAACAAAATCAAGTCTGAAGAATGGCAGAGTGAGACCTGTAGAAGTATTGCCTGCAATACAGATTTGTCATGTGTAGGTGGCAGTATGGAGCAGATTGCCTCATGGCTTGCTGAGACATGGGAAAATTGTATCTACAGTGAAATCCCAACAACTGAATGGAATTCGCAAATTAAGGTAATTTTGAGCTCACTGAGCAACTCAAAATAAACTCAGTTTTTAAAACAAAATAATTATATTTGTAACTCTTTCAATGTCAGTAAATGCAGATTGTATAATTATTTTCTTTTAAATGATTATTGTTTCTAGGATCCTTTGGAGTTGAAAAATAAGTTGAGTGTCAGAGATTTAAAAGAAAATCCTGACAGGTATGTCATAAATTGTAAATATTTGTATTTATGGATGCTCAGTGATAAATGTAGGATTTACTTAATAGTTTTCAGGTTCTCTGAATAAGCAAATTAAGAATTCAACGAAAATATTATTTAGAATGCTTGCTCTGAAGATTAACAGAGCTTCATTTAATTTTTATGACTGCACTTTCTGCATAAAGATGACTAGAGTGGTAGTGCCATTTCCTCCTCTTAGTTAGGGATCAATATAACGTGAAAGCCACCATGCTTGATACTGCGGAGTACTGTTTTTCCTGTTTGGCTAGTGGAGAGTAGGAATTAACTGATTTTAAGTTTCAAGTTTTCCTTCTAAAATGTAGTCAGAAATACCTTCTGAAAGTTATACAAATATCAAGATAATACATTCACAATAAATTAAGAAATATTCTCTCGCTTAATCAGTTCAATAATATATTTTTCCTTTTAAAGGATGTTGCATCTTAGCAAAGAAATTGAGAAGAATTATTCATCAAACTGTTGTAGGATGTTGCTGCAGAGAGCTATAAAAGCAGAATTGCAGCTTCTAAGAACTCACTATTGGATGTGTCATCAGCACTGCTGGAAGATTTACAGACTTGTTATGGAAGAAAGAGAATGTTTTAACAGGCATGCATTCATTTGATTTTTCTTGACTAAAACAGATATGTAATATTCTTCAATAGGATAGAATTTAAGAAATCCAGCTGCTCGTTAATCTAAAGAGAGCAACAGCAAATGCTTTCCTAAAATCCATTTGAGCGTCAACCAAATAACTGTTACTTATTTGATAGTATCTTGTGAAATTAAAATATTCCAAATATAATTAATATTAGTCACTGCTAACTACCATTCTTGTACACATGTAGTTGTAATATTTATTCAAATACACTAACTGGACCAGTTAATCAGTTCTGCTGAAGACATATTCTTAGGGTGTAATGCCAAAATATCAGAGTATTTTGACCCAATCAGAAGATGGTGGTGTTTGCCACAGAGCTCAAATTGCTAGTAATAACTGGCCTAATTCTTTATTTACTTTTGTCCCTGCGGTAATATTTTGTGTTTTGTTTAAGTACTATTGGAAGGGCATTAGTTGCTGAATAGGACTGCTTTATTATAGGTGGAACAGGTAGTGATGCATATAGTGGAGATTGCCTGACACTTTCCATTATTAGAGCCTGTTTTCAGTTGCTTATCACTTTGTCATACTTTAACCATTCAGCCTGAAATTTTCCATAGCAGGTGTTTGCCTCAGGCTGTGCGTGCACTTTGAAAATTTCAGCTAACTCGGTTCACTTGTTTCCAAGAACAAAGTTACTGGAAAGTCTTTGCAGAGTGACTGAACATGCTCCCTTCCAGGAGCTGGTGTGGACACCGTAGTGCCAGGTCCTGGAACTTAGAATAGGAAGTCTCCTATGCTATCATTGTACCACTGCTGGTGCCCAGACAGCACAGAGGAGGAGGAAACAGCCTGATGCAAATGCCCGAGGGTGAGAGCTAGGGTAGGAACAGAGAGGCACAGGGGAAATAGAAGCCGAGTGAGACGGAGAAAGGAGCTGGAAGAATGAATAGGTGCAGATTCGTACTGAGCAGTGGAGAGGGATGGGTAGGGGAGAAGAAAAGAGGGAACATGGATAGGATCCTGAGGATGGTTAGGAGTAAAAGGGTCAGACAGGCTGGGGCTGAGGCTGGGACAGGGACAAAAGAGTTTATAACCACTAAATCACACTTCCTCTTCAGAACTTGGAATTGAACCCATGATTCCTGAGCCTCACAGTCTTCTTGTGCTAGCAAATAGTTTTGCAACCCATTGGCAAAGTTTGCGTTTCATCCTCCCTTGCTGGTTTGTCTACATAAAGGGTAACAGCTTGTTCCTACTAGTTACTTTGTAAGCTCAAATGATTAGAGTTCTGTGCAGTGGATTTAGAGCCCCCCATCCTGTTGATGACCCATGTGGAGGTCAGTATGATTCTGCATGATGGAATATGATTTTTTAGTTTGCTTAGAAAAAAAAAATCTTAGGAAGTTGCATCCAAAACCACTTCAGACTCCAGGTCGATAGACCATGAAAGAAAATAGAACAATGTTCAGTTTTATCTTCAATTTGTATTCTCTTAAACTAAATGCCCACCAGTCTGGAGGAATTCTTTGGGATTGTTTAAAGTGATTTAAGATCCATTTGTTATCTTTGAGGGAGGTATAGTTCAATCTGCCTTTTAATACACTTACTGTGCCCTGGGGAAACAAATTAGACTCAGCTGTCTCCAGTTGATCCCAAGGGTGGATCTTACGCAGAAATAACTCTGGATTGGTGAGTATTAATGAAAAGACAAATTTACAAATAGGAAACAAATTATCCTATTGTATTTTTTAAATTTATTTTTATTAAGACTTTTAAATAATTACAAATAAGCATTCTTTCAAAGGGTCCCATAACACTTCGATGCAAGAATCTATATCGAAAAAAAGAAATTCTTGTAAAAAGGAAAGTCCACACATAAAACTGCATTAGAGATCACAAAAGACCAAGATGGTTTAAGCTAACATTTATTCGAAATAATAGATTTCTTCGTATGTGGTGGGGGAGGTGCAGGGACATGAAAAATCTTGAGGCACCATAAAATATTTTTGATAATTCTTGAAGCAATAATATAACAGGAATGTCCTATTAGGTATTTGAAGTGCTTTTTTATATTTTTTCAGGAATTTTAAAAGTGACATTTCCAAGACTGAACTAGGGTCATCTTTGTTGTCTGTTTTTGAAGAACTGAAGGCTAGGTATGAAAGCATGAGAGAAAAATTAGTCATGGGTATACCATTGGATTCACTGCCCCCATTATCAGTAGAGTCAAAATTGCTCTCGATCTTTTCTTCTTATGTTCCTTCAAAGGTACAGTAGGGTTTTTTTTAAGTTACTCTTTGGCTTTAAGTTGGAATGTTTTTAAATAAAAACAACGGAATTCTTTTTTTTTCTTGACAGTTAGTGAAAGACGACCTTCTGTATAAGTAAGTAATTACAATTTTTATTTATCTATTCAGATTAAGGTATAGACCAGAAGTGAGCGCAAAATAAATAGTGTGAGTATTTTTGGTTTTTTGTGTAAGAACTTCACTTGTTACTTCAACTCCGTTTAGCTGAAAAAGCAGGTTGGCACTTTTGGCAGTGAGATTTTATTTAAGAGTGAAGTTTTACTCTGCAAAGTAATTGTATGCAAATGGTATTGTAGAGTTCTATGTTTGTATCCTCATGACCTTCAGTTCAGATTTTCTCAATTTACAGATAAAAAGGTGTATTTTCCCTACCATTCAACATTCAATTTCTATCTGGGATCTTAAATTCAAGCTGCGTTATTTCTGGCTTGCATATATTCACCAGTAATAAAGATTTTTGCATTCAGCACATAGTTGACAGTTCTGTTGTCAATGTGCAAGTCTGAAAGGAGTCCAGTTCACTGTTCCATAGATGCGTTGTCTGCAGCGCTAATGGGTAACAAGTAAGGCTGTCAAGTGATTAAAAAAATTAATCGCAATTAATCATGTGATTAAAAGAATTAATTGCGATTAATCGCGCTGTTAAACAATAATAGAATTTAAATTTTTTAAAATATTTTTGGATCTTTTCTATATTTTCAAATGTATTGATTTCAATTACAACACAGAATACAAAACGCACTCAAAAAGAAACCAATGTAAAACTTTAGAGCCTATAAGTCCACTCAGTCCTACTTCTTGTTTAGCCAATTGCAAAGAGAAACAAGTTTGCTTACATTTACAGGAGATAATGCTGCCCACTTCTTAATTACAATATCACCTGAAAGTGAGAACAGACATTTGCATGGCACTGTTGTAGCCGGCATTGCAAGATATTTACGTGCCAAATGCGCTGAAGATTCATATACCTTTTCATGCTTCAGCCATTGTTCCATAGGACATATTTCCATGCTGATAATGCTCGTTAAAAAAAAATGCATTAATTAAATTTGTGACTGAACTCCTGGGGGAGAATTGTATGTCCCCTGCTGTTTTACCCGCATTCTGCCATATATTTCATGTTATAGCAGTCTCGGATGATAACCCAGCACATGTTGTTCATTTTAAGAACACTTTCACTGCAAATTTGACAAAATGTAAAGAAGATACCAATGTGAAACTTTTAAGATAGCTACAGCTTGATCCAAGATTTAAGAATCTGAAGTGCTTTCCAAAATCTGAGAGGGATGAGGTGTGGATCATGCTTTCAGAAATTTTAAAAGAGCAAGACTGATGCGGAAAGTATAGAATCCAAACAACCAGAAAGAAAATCAACCTTCTGCTGGTGGCATCTGACTCAGATGATGAAAAGGAACATGTGTTGATCCGCACTGCTTTGAATCGTTAACAAGCAGAACCCGCTGTCAGCATGAACACATGTCCTCTGGAATGGTGGTTGAAGCATCAAGGGACATATGAATCTTTAGCGCATCTGGCATGTAAATATCTTGCGACACCGGCTACAACAGTGCCATGCAAACACCTGTTCTCACTTTCAAGTGACATTGTAAACAAGAAGCAGGCAGCATTATCTTCTGCAAATATAAACAAACTTGTTTATCTGAGCTACTGGCTGAACAAGAAGTAGGACTGAGTGGGCTAGTAGGCTCTAAAGTTTTACATTGTTTTATTTTTGAATGAAGGTTTCTTTTGTACATAATTCTACATTTGTAAGTTCAACTTTCATGATAAAGAGATTGCACAACAGTACTTGTATTAGGTGAATTGAAAAATACTATTTCTTTTGTTTTTTACAGTGCAAATATTTGTAATCAAAAATAAATATAAAGAAATAAATATAAAGAAATCAATATATTTGAAAATATAGAAAAGCATCCAAAATATTTAATATATTTTAATTGGTATTTTATTGCTTAATTGGTATTCTATTGCTTTTTTAAATTGCAATTAATTTTTTTGAGTTAATTGCATGAGTTAACTGTGATTAATTGACAGCCCTAGTAACAAGTAGCAAAAACATACATCCCTCAGGTACACAAAACTATGTAAGCAGGGAAGTGAAGTTAAGCCACCTAACAGTGCATAGCTTTTATTCCCTCACACATAGTCACATACCATATCATTTCCACAACTGCCGTATACCATAGTCCACATACCACAGCATTAATTATCCCCCCTACGCATGTCAGCCTTCTAGTACGTGGTTTACCAAACTACTCCTACAGCCTTCCCTTGTGCACACCACCTTCACAACTACTGCCTTCTTCCTTACTGTTAGTTTGTGGTGAGGGAGGTGGCTTGATAAACAGGATGAAATAAGGCTGGCCTCTCAAGGGGAAAGAGATTTGAGAATAATGGGAGAAGCTGACCAGAAAAATTCAGAAAGAATTTCTTTCAAAATGAAGGAGATTATTCTTCAGCCGCTGTTGAAAGATAAACTTTCATTTATAAAGAATAACAGCAACAGAGTCTAAATATGTATTTTCAGAAAATCCACTGTATTAGATATACTCAAGATTGACCTCTCCACTAATTTTTGTGTAAATAGTTTTCAAAGGAGATGTCGCCAATAATTGCCTGACTACAACAGATAAAGTTCAACAGACCAGTTTCAAGTTTATTTAAAATTATTAAAAGAAATCAGCAACAACAAAAATTGTCAGAAACTAATGAAAAATTATGAAAAATATTTCAGTACTTCAGTGAAGATGAAAACATTCCGTTTTTCATCTGAACAGACCCCACGAACAAGCAGCTCCAGGAACTGCACTTACATTTCCTGTCTCTCTGGAAGCAAAGGGCTAGTGTTACATATATGATGTTCTTGTCATAGCTACAAGCCAACACCAGGGGCGGCTCTAGCTTTTTTGCCGCCCCAAGCACAGCAGGCAGGCTGCCTTCGGCGGCTTGCCTGCGGGAGGTCCCCGGTCCCGCGGATTCGGCCTACCCGCCCGCCGAATCCGCGGGACCGGCGAACTTCCGGCAGTCAAGCCGCCGAAGGCAGCCTGACTGCCGCCCTCGCAGGGACTGGCAGGGCACCGCCTGCGGCTTGCCGCCCCAGGCACACACTTGGAGCGCTGGTGCCTGGAGCCGCCGCTGGCCAACACAAAGGTGGTACAATAGATCTAAAAGTATAGAGTCTGACAGTTGCCCTGTAAGTATCATTAAAGATTCCTGACTAACATTCGGTTAAAATGAGCCCATTAAATTAAGAGTAATTTTATTCGCGCTGTCTCTAACATGGAACCAGCAAATGTTTCTGTATTACCATTTTGTTACACAAGCAGTGTCATATTACGTCACTCAGAAGCTATTGGAATATGGTGTGATGTAATGGAACTGGCTGTAGTTTGTTTTATGGCTAATGGATAACACACAAATCTGCAATAGTGCAGCTTATCAGAATTCTATCTTTAAACAAATATTATGACAATGTGGATAATTTTCCAGTTTTCTTTTGTCAGTATTTTAAAAACATGTATGTTTAAATACTGTATCATAAAAGAATGCCAGAATAATAAATGATTGCCATATTATGACCTTATATAAGTAGGACAAAGGGAAAAGACAAATAAAACTTCCAGTATTACTGTGTAATTGCAAAATTATTTGTCTTGTGAGAAAGAATTATATCTCATAGCTACTTTTAAACTTTCTCTTAATCATGTTAAATGTAGTCAGACTGAGTAACATGAAATATACTCTTAAAATGAAAAATATAGCTACAGAAATAAGCAATTTAAAGAATTGCTGGTTACATCAAAATGTATACAAAATATTTGCATAAGAGGGATAGTGATTCTATTCATAAAAGTAGGTAAGAGACAGTAAGGTAGTATTACAGTGGATGACTGAAAAGGTCTCTAAAATGTTTCCTGGAATTGATATTTTTCTTTTAGTATGTATCGCATTACCAAATAATTAATTTTAACTTCCAAACAATTGTTTTTCTAGATGATAAAATATTCCTAGCAATAGGGACAAACTGTACTTTTTTTTCTTTCTCTGTTAATATCTAGTATGTTTATAGAATCTTCAAATGTACAATTGTTGTCTCTATAAAATTGCTATTAAAATAGAATCATAGAATATCAGGGTTGGAAGGGACCTCAGGAGATCATCTAGTCCAACCCCCTGCTCAAAGCAGGATCAATCCCCAACTCAATCCCCAAATGGCCCCCTCAAGGATTGAACTCACAACCCTGGGTTTAGCAGGCCAATGCTCAAACCACTGAGCTATCCCTCCCCCTTATTAAACTTTAGTATCTTTTACACTGGATATGTTGATGTTTATATATTAATTTTTCCTCATCTTCAATAGACTAAGAAAAATAAAGTTGGTAGAGACCATCCATTTTGAAAATTACACTGAATAACAGGAGACTATATTAAAATTTATAATCTACAGTAACTCCTCACTTAACGTCTTCCTGCTTAACGTTGTTTCAAAGTTACATCGCTGCTCAATTAGGGAACATGCTCGTTTAAAGTTGTGCAATGCTCCCTTATAACGTCATTTGGCTGCCTGCTCTGTACACTGCTTGTAAGATTCTGTGCAAGAGCAGCGACTTTACAAGGGACCATTGCACAAGTTCCTCTTCTCCGCCTCTTCCCCCTCCCTCCCAGCGCTTCTCCCCACGGCCAAACAGCTGTTTGGTGGCACTTAAGACTTTCTGGGAGGGAAGGGGAGGAGCAGGGAAGCGCTGCCTCTCCACTCCTCCCCCTCCCTCCTTCCCAGAAAGTCCTAAGTGTCGCCAAACAGCTGTTTGACGGCCCTTAGGACTTGGGGGAGGGGAAGGTGCGGGGACGTGGCATGCTCCAGAGAGGAGGTGGACTGGGGACGGGAAGAGGTGGGCCTGGAGTGGGGACGGGAAGAGGTGGGCCTGGAGTGGGGACGGGAAGAGGCGGGCTTGGAGTGGGGACGGGAAGAGGCAGACCTGGAGCATCCCCCAGCAAAGTCTGCACCTGTTCTTCTCCGGGGAAGCTGCCACTGCTGCTGCGAAGGTGCTTCCTAGCATCCTTACCTGCAGCGGGCTGTGCCTGTGTGGGGTAAGCCAGGGACACTTCCCAACCACAGTACATACTGTACAATATATAATGCCTTTTGCCCCCCCAACATTTCCTTAGACCCTAACCCCCGCATTTACATTCAATCTTATGGGAAAATTGGATTCGTTTAACATTGTTTCACTTAAAGTTGCATTTTTCAGGAACATAACTACAATGTTAAGTGAGGAGTTACTGTATTTTCAAAAGTTGCATGTTATTTTTTAGTTCTAGTTCTGCGGCAGAAAAATCAGGCTTGGAAATGTCAAAACATCAAGAGAGAGAAATTTCCTCCAGCCTGAAAAGAACACCACCTTTAGTGAGTTTCCTGAACATTTACTTTGGAACCTTCTTATAAGCTAATAATCTTTTTAAATCCTATTCTTTATGCAGACATATTTTTAGAACAGTATATAAAAATATAATTTTGATCTTTACACTGCATCCAAGTATTGGCATTTCTTAGCATATATCTCAGTGCTAGCAATGGGATGCAATGCAACTGATATTACCAAGGGATTATAATACTGCTTTCGAAATGTAAAATGATTGAGATCTTGAACTAAGATTAGTGGGCAAAAGTTTTTCTATAGCTAATTAGCACATCTATAGTGTGAAACTTGGAAAAATATTAAATTATGCATTTTAAGCAAAAAAAAGTATTGTTACTCAACAAGTAATTAATGCAAGCCTATTTATAGGTCACTCCTCAAATGTGTGTAACTGACAACAGGCAGCATAAGCAATATCCTTCCTACAAGAACTTTGAAATAAAGTATGAGGCTCAAGATATAGAAAGGGGTAAGTTAGATGTATCTAATTCAAGATTTGACAGTAAAGTTCAGTAGGAACAGCACAATGTATTTGTTATTTGTATTATGAATTTGCAAAAACCCAAAACCTCTGAATAAAATATCCATATTGATACTCTACTGCCCTTTCTCTAAGGGGTCATTTAATGTTAAATCAACTACACACTGCAGTTTCAGATATACAATCTGTGGGTAATGTAACAAAGAAATGGAAACATGCACAAATATGTTTTCTATGTAGCTGCAAACCACAGTATCTTGAATAATGTTATGTAGAGGCCTTAGAAGAATGATTCCCTTTAAGTATAGCGTGAGTCAGTGGTGACAGGGAAAAGTCGTGTATTTTACCTACATGTTAATGTTCTTGTCAGTATATTACTACAATTAAATTATTTTCTCTAGGTACTGGAGAATGATTGTAGTTAGGGCTCTCAAGTGATTAAAAAAATTAATCATGAGTAATCACGCTGTTAAACAATAATAGAATACTATTTATATAAATATTTTTGGATGTTTTCCACTTTTTCAAATATATTGATTTTAATTACAACACAGAATACAACATGTACAGTGCTCACTTTCTATTTATTTTTTGTTACAAATATTTGCACTGTAAAAATAAAAGAAATACTATTTTTCAATTCACTCAATACACAAGTACTGTAGTGCAATCTCTTTATCATGAAAGTTGAACTCACAAATGTAGAATTATGTACCAAAATAACTGCATTCAAAAATAAAACTATGTAAAACTTTAGTGCCTACAAGCTCACTCAGTCCTATTTCTTGTTCAGCCAATCGCGCAGACAAATAAGGTTGTTTACATTTGCAGGAGATAATGCTGCCCGCTTCTTGTTCACAATGTCACCTGAAAGTGAGAACAGGTGTTCGCATGGCACTATTGTAGCTGGTGTCGCAAGATACTTACATGCCAGATGCTCTAAAGCTTTATATGTCCCTTGATGCTTCAACCACCGTTCCAGAGGGCATGTGTCCATGCTAATGACGGGTTGTGCTCGATAACAATCCAAAGCAGTGCGGACCGACTCATGTTCATTTTCATCATCATAGTGAAATGCCACCAGCAGAAGGTTGATTTTCTTTTTTGGTGGTTCGGGTTCTGTAGTTTCCGCCTTGGAGTGTTGCTCTTTTAAGACTTCTGAAAGGATGCTCCACACCTCGTCCCTCTCAGATTTTGGAAGGCACTTCAGATTCTTAAACCTTGGGTCGAGTGCTGTAGCTATCTTTAGAAATCTCACATTGGTATCTTTTTTGTATTTTGTCAAATCTGCAGTGAAAGTGTTCTTAAAATGAACAACATGTGCTGAGTCATCATCCGAGACTGCTATAACATGAAATATATGGCAGAATGCAGGAAAAACACAGGGTAGGAGACATACAATTCTCCCCCAAAGAGTTCAGTCATAAGCTTAATTAAATAAGCATTATTTTTTTAATGAGCATCATCAGCATGAAAGCATGTCCTCTGGAATGGTGGCCAAAGCATGAAGGGGCATACCAATGTTTAGCATATCTGGCACATAAATACTTTGCAATGCCAGCTACAAAAGTGCCATGCAAACATCTGTTCTCACTTTCAGGTGACAGTGTAAATAAGAAGCGGGCAGCATTATCTCCCTTAAATGTAAACAAACTTGTTTGTCTTAGCAATTGGCTGAACAAGAAGTAGGATGAGTGGACTTGTAGGCTGCTAAGTTTTGCATTGTTTTGTTTTTGACTGCAGTTATGTAACAAAAAACTATGTTTGTAAGTTGCACTTTCACAATAAAGAGATTGCAGTGCGGTACTTGTATGAGATGCATGAGGGGTGTAACCATAGGTGCTGAAAAATACTGTTTGTTTTGTTTATCATTTTTACAGTGCAAATAGTTGTAATAAAAATAATATAAAGTAGGCAGTGTACACTTCGTATTCTGTGTTGTAATTGAAATCAATATATTTGAAAAAGTGGAAAACATCCAAAAATATTTAAATAAATGGTACTCTATTATTGTTTAATGGTGTGATTAATCATGATTATTTTTTTAATCACTTGACAGCCCTAAACATAACCAATATTTTTAATATCTTCCTTTATTTTGAAAAAGGAACTAACATGATGTGTATGTTACACAAAAAATTTTCTCTATCTTACAGATGAAACTGAATCAGAAAGGTGAAATCACTTGCCTGAGACCATACGAGTCAGTGGCAGAGTCAGGATTAGTGCTCAGGGCATCCTAATTCTCAGCCTTGTGCTCATTTCTGCAGGCAACTCTGCCTTCTCAATATCATTGCTTGAATTTTAGTACAGACGTTCCCCGACTTACGCAAGCGTTCCGTTCCTGAACGCCTTGCGTAAGTTTAATTTTGCATAAGTCGGGAACGTATACCCGACAATTACACGCGCGCAAAAAAAAAATGTTTACGGAACCTTTTCTGTAAGTGCGGGTTTGTGTAAGTCGGGTTTGCATAACCCGGGGAGCATCTGTATATGAAACTAAGGCCTGGTCCACACTAACCCCCCACTTCGAACTAAGGTACGCAAATTCAGCTACGTTAATAACGTAGCTGAATTCGAAGTACCTTAGTTCAAACTTACCGTGGGTCCAGACGCGGCAGGCAGGCTCCCCCGTCGATGCTGCATACTCATCTCGCCGAGCTGGAGTACCGGCGTCGACGGCGAGCACTTCCGGGATCGATTTATCGCCTCTAGACAAGACGCGATAAATCGATCCCAGAAGATCGATTGCTTACGGCCGGACCAGGAAGTAAGTGTAGACCTGCCCTAAGTTTGCTTTAACTGTGTTGCAGACTGCAGAAAAAATCAAGAAATAAATGAAGACTGGTTTGATGCTAAAGAGAACTTTACAGTGACTGATTTTTCAGTAACACTTCTAGGGAATGAAAAAGAACAAGAAAAGCTAGAGAAGGTCATTAGTACAAGAGGTGAGTTGAGCACTCTATTGGTTTAGGTAAGAATGGCATTAGTGTTGCTTTATTGAACATTGCTTGTCCTCTGAAGGATCAGCTGGATTTTCAAGTGCTACTTTTTCATATTTTTTTAGTACTATTCTCTTTCCTTGTTTGCGATGAGTTTCCTATAAAGAATTGCTTCTAGCTTTTGTGTAAAATTTACCACTTTGGTCAAGATTTTCAAATGTGTATGTCATCAAACACAAACCTGGAAATATTCCTCTTTAATTTTTTCTAATACTGACTTCTCCAGAGATAATTAGGACAGATTCACACTCTTGAGATTGTGCCCCTGTATGGGGGCATGGTTGGAACGACTCAAATTAAGTGTGATATAAAGCTTGTTGGTTCCATAAGAGGAGGGGAGGCATGTTATACCCATAGGTGCTGTCTTCCTCTTTCCTTGGGGGGTGCCCGACCCCCCCCCCACCTTTGCCCCAGGCCCTGCCTGCACTCCACCACTTCCTCCAAGTCCCCACCTCACCTCTTCCCACCCCTGCTCCGCCCCAGTCCCCGCCTATCTCCACTCCTGCCCCCAAGCCCCCATCCCACCTCTTCCCGCTCCGTCCCGCCTCTTCCCTGCCTCTTTCCACCCCCTCCCCTGAGCATGCCATGTCCCCGCTCCTCCCCCTCCTCCCAGGGCCTCCTGCACGCTGTGGAACAGCTGATCGTGACAGGCAGGAGGTGCTGGGAGGGAGGGGAGGAGTTGATCAGCGGGGCCACCGGTAGCAAGGTGGGAGCTTGGCTGCCAGCGGGTGCTAAGTACCCACTATTTTTTTTCTGTGGGCACTCCAGTCGGCACCTATGGTTACACCCCTCACGCAATGGAATGTGGGAACCCTTTAGTGTTCCAACCAGTAGTACCTTTCTGATTGTGGTCAGTGAAGAACTCCCCGAGTCACTGCAACCAACTTTCTTGCTCTATAGCTCCATATTGTTGCCTCTCCACTACTTTATTCTTACAGAAAATATATTTTAATAGCACGTCAAACTTAGTGTTCCCTATTTGATGCTTAGCATATTTTTTACAGCTCAAATTGGAGTCCCTGCATCAATGTCACCTGCATCAGTGCCCTTAGTATGTTCTTTCCTTTGGAAAGGCCTGTGCATTCTCTGCTTGTGTGATTTCTGACTTTGAGCAATTAGGTGCTGAAGAAAGTATGTAAAGTCTCTCTTGGCTTCTTAGCATCTTCTTATAAATCTAGTGAGAAGCCAGCCTGGAAGACCTTGAAAGTTTCAGCTTCAAGTGTTCCTGAGTGGCAGGTTCCAGTTGAATGTCAAGACCTGCATCTTACTGACATCACTGCCCAGCCATTTCAGTGTATGCCAGAAGTGGTTTGCAGAGGGGCACCTAGTGGACTGTGCCCTGTTAGCTGAAACCAACAATGATCTCTGGGTTCCTGAGACCGAGTGGTAGCTGGAGGAGGAAAGGATCAGCTTGCTCCTGCCCCCAATAGCTGCTGCCACCCTTCCCCTTCTTGTCCTCCACCCTCATAGCTACCCACATGGGGCTCTGCTCCAGGGTAGGACCATCAGCACTTTAAAGGACTCTAGAACTGACATCACTTGATGTGGCGCTGCCCAGAATATGAGTGTTGTGCAGGTGAGTGCTGGGAAGGTGGAAGGAGTGTCCTTCCCCATTCTACTGTAGAGCACCAGTCTCTCCCACACCTGTCACTCAGCAGCAACAGCTGTCTCACAAGCCACAAAATTCCATCAGCAGCCTAAGCTTTTCATCTCACCCCATTAATGACACCAGCTCCCAGGACCCATTTTTTAAATCGATAACACTCACAAAAACCCTCCAAACCCTAAAAATGTTCAGTGGCCCAGTCCTATGCATGTTCAGTGGATCGCAGAATGTTGTGACTCAAAAAAAGATTGAGACACTCTGATTTAAAAGTATGGGTCTCAAAGCTGCATTTTGACACCATTGGAACATCTAGCTACACTTTATGCATAGTTGCTGAAGCACATCGAAACTTTGAGGACCTGAATTGCATACCTGGACAGTGTTTGATACAAGCTCCTCCTCTAGAAAGACGTTACGCCGTCAGAGCTGTAAGCTTTTCCTGCGCAAGGGGGGATCACTAGAATCCCAATTTGTGACTAACTCTGACTTTGAGTCTTGGAAAGGAACCTATTGGTTAGAATTAAGAAAATTGGTTAGACAAATACAATTTCAAATTAAAACCTGTACTCTGTTTTTAGAATCAATTTACCAGATTTTGTAGAAGTAAATGAAAAAATGTTTCTGGTCTTCATGCTCTCCTTTACAAAATTTTAAATATGTATATTTCTATGTAGTGTTTTAAGGCAACTATTTGAAAACAAATGCAATTTCACCCTTTTCCCTGTTTGTATCATGAATAGGGCTCTACCAAATTCACGACCATGAAAAATACGTCATGGACCATGAACTCTGGTCTCCTGCCATGAAATCTGGTCTTTTGTGTGCTTTTACTCTATACTCTACAGATTTCACTGGGGAGACCAGCGTTTCTCAAACTGGGGGTCCTGACACAAAAGGGATTTGGAGGGGGGTTGTGGTATTGCCACCTTTACTTCTGCGCTGCAGCCTTCAGAGCTGGGCAGCTGCAGCTGGAGAGTGGCGGCTGCTGACTGCGGGCCCCCGCTCTGCAGGCAGCAGTGCAGAAGTAAGCGTGGCAATCCCATACCATGCCATCTTACTTCTGCACTGCTGCTGGCGACGGCTCTGCCTTCAGAGCTGAGCTCCCGGACAGCAGTCGCCGCTCTCCAGCCGCCCAGCTCTGCAGGCAGCGCCGCCACCTGCAGCAGCGCAGAATTAAGGGTAGCAGTACCGCAACCTCCCCTACAATAACCTTGTGACACTCCCACAACTCCTTCTTGGGTCAGGACCTCTACAATTACAACACTGAAATTTCATATTGAAATAGATGAAATCATGAAACTTACAATTTTTAAAATCCTATGACCATGAAATTGACCAAAATGGACCATGAATTTGGTACGGCCCTAATCATGAAACACATTTTCTCCATTCAATCACTTCGATTTTTTTAGCGATACCGTTTTCCTTTTACATATTTTCTGCTTTTTTTTTACAACTTATTGTAGATTGAATTGAATAAGGAATAGCACATTGATATTTTTTCTTGTATATTTCTATACCACCAGAAATAAAGATGGTGAAGAATACAAAAAGTGAGCCAAATAAGCATTATTTTATTCATGTTGGTGGCTTAAGTCCTTCAGTATCAGAGGTAAAATAGCCTTTCTTTAAATAATAATAATAATATTAATACCTTGTTTATTTAGTAAATTACTTTCATGCTGTACTTTACATCCTAAATATGCTATCTGTTGTAGGTTGATCTAAGGTCTCATTTCCAGAAGTATCAGGTTTTGGAGGTTTCAATATGTGAGTTTTCTAGTAACTACAGGTACATTCATATTAATGTAAATTTTATTTGTATTACATTTGTTACTGACAAAATAAGTGGCACTTAGGAAAGTTTTTTTTTTTACTTTGTAAGTTACTTTAATGTCAGTGGAATTTTAATTAAATCAATACATTTTCTACAGGTTATATTTTAGCTGTTGACTGGCAGTGTCTGAGTTCCAGAAACAGTTGACATGTTACTGGAAAATACCAATTATAAAATGTTGTCCTTGCTGGATTAAAATATTGTAGTTCAATTAAAAGCTGTAGCTAACATTTTAAAGTAGAGAGCTGCACCATAATCAGAAGCATTTGTAATTAATGGATTTGGTATCATCCACATATGGAAGCTGGTTAAATTGTATATTAAATTGTATTTTTTCTTAGTTCTTGCACATGTTTTTAAATTTTAGGTATGCATCTCTGAGTTTTAAAAAAGCTAGTAAAGCAAAATTGGCTGTGGACGAAATGAATGGGAAAGAAATAAAAGGAAAAGCAGTAAATGTTCGTCTTGTAAAAACTGCAGGAGAAAATATACTTCCAGCTTTTCAAAAAGTTTCCAGACCACTTCACTATGAAAACCAAGCCACTGATAATTTGGAAGAAAATATTCAAGTCAGAACTACCTGCTCTGTCCCGGACTCTTTGAAAGTGCCTTCCACCACCTCAACCTCTTTGAAAGTGCTTTCCCCTCCCTCAGTTTCTTCAGCAATGCCTGCCCCTACCCTGGCCTTTTCAAAAGTGCTCAGCTCTGATTTAAAACCACTTAGACATGAATCAGGACACCTTTTATTCTCAGTTGATCAACAGGTAAATTATTCTTCCTGGGACAGATTACGATGAGTTTTTAAAGTTAATTCTTACTTTGTACTTAGCATATTTTGCAGTAGTGTTGGATGCTGCAAAGTGCTCAAAAATCAGTATTTGTGGCATATTGTAGAAGGGACATAGCTCTCCATCTTCTCCTGCCTAATGTTGACATCTCCACCTTTATTTCTTTAATGATGTAAGCTCATCAAGTAACTATACCTGTACATTTCACCGCTGGAATAACTATGGTTTTATTTTGTTTTTTCTTTTAGATTTAAAAGTTTTCACTTTTAATAAGTTTGTATAAGTGTAATGCATTGTGATTTATTAAGGTACAAGAAAGATTTTTGTTTGGCAGAAGAGCGGAAGGGAAAACTTCTGTTTAGATTGTATCCTAAATTATACGATGAATTCATTTTCAGATTTTCTTCGTCCACTGACTTTATCCAATAACAAGCTTTGTGGTTGTGATTATTTAAAAAAAAAAAAAACCCTGAAAACTTATTCTACTTTTATTTAATATGAAAATGACTGTTCCTAGGGTAACCTAGATTTTGCCTAATTTAACATGGTTACACATGAAAAAACATAAAAATGGTAACCAAAATAAGAATATTTTAAATTTTAAGATATATGCAGTAGTTACATTGTAACATGATCAGTTTTGATCCTGATATACATCTCTATAAATATTTTACTATTGAACTAAATCTGTAATTGCTCCAATAGTTTGAAAAATGGTACATAACAGAAGCGATAATCTTCTGTAAAATAGAATAAGCAATCCATACAATACTTAACACATTCTATGTTCAATTGTTTTAATTTGCATCTAGAGTACAAGAGAGAATCCTCTGCAGATAAAACCTGTTCAGTTCTCTCCTAATCCATCTGCTACCTTTATACCTCCTAACACATTGAACTTGAGCAGCTTTACCAAATTGATGAAGAAATTAGAAGAACTGCATCCCAAGGCTAGTAGGTAAGAATATCTGATTTTTCTCCACTGATTTATGAATCTAATATTCAAGATACAGACGCCCCCCAGGTTACGGAAACCCAACTTATGCAAATCCGCACTTATGGAAAAGTTCTGTAAGCTAGAAATAGGAGTGTGGGTGCCTTTTGGGGTTTTTTTGCGTAATTGTCGGGTATACGTTTCCGACTTGTGCAAAATTCGAGTTACGCGAGCGTCTGTAGTCAAATGAAATGATAAATTTGGAATTGGTGAAAACATGTTTATATAACAGGAGTACTTGTGGCACCTTAGAGACTAACAAATTTATTAGAGCATAAGCTTTCGTGGGCTACAACCCACTTCTTCAGATGCATATAGAGTGAAATATATTGAGGAGATATATATACACACATACAGAGAGCATGAACAGGTGGGAGTTGTCTTACCAACTCTGAGAGGCCAATTAAGTAAGAGAAAAAAAACTTTTGAAGTGATAATCAAGATAGCCCAGTACAGACAGTTTGATAAGAAGCAAGTGTGAGAATACTTACAAGGGGAGATAGATTCAATGTTTGTAATGGCTCAGCCATTCCCAATCCCTATTTAGCCCTGAGTTGATTGTGTCTAGTTTGCATATCAATTCCAGCTCAGCAGTCTCTCCTTGGAGTCTGTTTTTGAAGTTTTTCTGTTGTAAGATAGCCACCTGCAGGTCTGTCAAAGAATGGCCAGACAGGTTAAAGTGTTCTCCCACTGGTTTTTGAGTATTATGATTCCTGATGTCAGATTTGTGTCCATTAATTCTTTTGTGTAGAGACTGTCCGGTTTGGCCAATGTACATGGCAGAGGGGCATTGCTGGCACATGATGGCATATATAACATCACTCGGTTAAAGACAATCTTATTTCTGTCTCACTTGTTTAGAGATAATATTGTGGATGCTTTGCTGGAGGTCAGAACAAATAATAAAGGTTTCCTAAGTGGCTTGTCTATTAATGTTATTGTGGAAATGGCTTCCTCTGTTCTGAAGAAATCTGCATCCAAATGTGAGGAAAAAGTAGCATAAACAGGTGAGCATTCTAGTGCAGAAAGAAAAATACTTTGAAATAGAAAATGTATTGTTTGTATGGCTGTATAACGTAGCTATATGTATAGCCTAGTAAATAACTCTTTGTGCTTTGATTACCACACATGTGCTTCATTGCCAGTGGGGAGTGCACTGAAAGAATTGTCACTGAAGAAGAATTAACTTCTTTTGGAATAGTTGTGTGATGAGCACTTACAGTTTTTAATGTTTACTAAGTTAAATTGCTAACTCTATCAGATATAAATCTCACTGTGTAAAATTTGGCATACTTGGGATGATATTATCCAAATTGTTTCAGAATTTCTGCTGATTTCACAACAGAAAGGTTAAATCTCCATTAACATTACTGTACATATAGATGGTGCTGCATTTACAAAAAATTTCCAGACAAAAGTGACATCTAATGGCCTGTTCTTTTAACAGAAATGATATAGATAGTCCAGAGAATATATACTGGATCCAGTTTTGTATTAAAGGTTGACAGACCAAGTTCTGTTAAACATGAGGATTGGATGGGTGATTTGCCTGTCTTGGTCATTTGGGGAGGAGGGGATTTATTTGATGGGATTCTGTGGATTTTGTTTTTTTTTAAGGAACTCAGATTGATCCTTCTTTCTGCAGCCCTGCATCTCCCACAGTTCTTGACATCTGGGCTGCTCCGTTCACTTTGCAGCTCACAGAGGCCGATCAACTTTTTGGCACTTCCAGTCTGACTGCTGCTTCTTTGCTCCCACTCCAGGCCAATTTTTCTCCTTCTGAAGCAGAGTGTGGATTGCTGTTTTAGTGATCCCGCCTTCTCATCTGCCTAATGGGGGGGGGGAGGAGGGGCGTCGTCAAAATTTGGGGAAGTGGGGAGCATTGATCTCTCTCCTAGCCCCTCTTCTCCCCCCTTGGTTAGTTTTTTGGCTGGGTGTTTGAATGCTCCCACTCCAGAGCCTTCACTGCAGGCCTCCCTGCTGGTTCCTCTGCACCTTCCAGTTATGGCAGAGCAGCCTAAAAAGCAGTGAATTAAAAGCCAAATAGTTTTCCACCTGTGAGACAGCCACCCCAGGATCGGCAGACAGTTAGTTATGCCCAGTCTTCCATTGTTAACTGTTAGGTCCCAGGCCTGAGTTAGACAGGCATGTAAAATCCCCTACCCAAAAGAGCAGCCCTGACTCTAATGTATATGGGAAATTGGACCAGGAATCGATAGCAGAGCAGGGCAAGGCTCCAAGGATGAGGACTCCAGTCAACTGACTTGGGATAAATCCCAAGGGGTCCCTGGAAAACAGAGGGTAGACTTGCAGGGTCACAAGTCCCCCAAGTCCTAAAATATGTCCTAAGCACCATGGGAAAAGAAGCGGGGCTCATAAACACCCCTGGCCCTCTCCCATTTGGTCAGGAGGGCTCTGGAAGTATTTTCCCTCACCACTCTCTGGGGTAATGGGACCCATCAGGCAAGGACTCAGAAAGAAATCTTGTCAGAGGACTTAAGGTCCACAGCATGACTAGCTGCAAAAGGCCTCACCAAAGTGCAACAGAGCTCATATGTACGTGAGCTAAAAAAGTGAAAAAAGCAAAGCAAAAAAGGAAAGAGAAAGCATAAGAGATCTGGGAGATAGAAGCCCTCTGACTCCTCTTCCCCCTCTTCTATAGAGGATAGTGAATTGTTGGACTCTGACTCTGATCAAGACCAGGAAAAGACTCAGCAAAAGTTTGTTCCCCCTGAGAAATTCAAGGCCATGAGCAAAAAGGTTGTATCTACTGTTCAGATTCAACCGAAACGGAGCCCTGTGAGTAAGCCTATAAGAAAATTTCTCTTCTTGAACTGCTCCCCTGAGGCATGATTCCCCTACATTCCTCCTTCAGGGAAGTAATCAGGAATAAATGAGACAAGTCAAGCAAGGGCAAACATACTAACAAAAATGATCTTAGATTCTACAGGATCCAGCAATCAAAGGTCCAGCTTACTGAGATACATAAAGTTAACGCTCCCTTAGGGATCCTGGCAAAAGATACGGTTATCCCCTCAGAAGGGGAGTTCTAGACAATACTTAGTCCTGCCTTGAGTGCAGGGGACTGGAGTAGATGACCTCTCGAGTTCCCTTCAAGTTCTCTGATTCTATGATTCTATTCTAAGGATCCCACGGTTAGAAAAATGGAGGCCACTCTCAAAAAAGACTGAGGCCTCCTGAGCCTCCAACAGGGCATCCCTAGAGGCTGCTTGCTTTGCGAGAGCATCTCTCTCTTAGCTGAAAGATCTCAGAGCTCTCAAGGATAGAGATCACCCTGACTTCAACTCTATTTTGAAGAAAGTTTCCCGAGCAGCAGCATTGCTGGTACCTCAATGGCTGTGATGAGATTCTTAGCCAAAGCCAGGGCCTCCAGCTCAGTGACCAGGTACTACCTATGGCTCTGTCCCTGGAAGGTGTATAGCCACTCTAAACTGGTGCTGTTCTCCAGATTTATGAGAGTCCTGCTTTTTGGGGAGAAGCTAGACAAAGTAGTGGCAGACAGTGCTGCAAAAATCTGAACAGTTCCTCCCAATGCCACACCATGCATTTAAGAAAGAGTACAGATAGGCCTTCAGACAAAGATGTTCCAGATGGAGACCCTAACCTCTACGGTGTCATCCCTGTTCCAGAGTACTTTCTGACTTGAGGGATCTGGTGAATGCATACCTCCACATCCTGATCAGATCGTGCTATTGCAGGTTCCTACAGTTTGCATATGGTAGGGAGCATTATCATTATGTGTTGCTCTTATGGCCTATCCTGGCCCCCTTTGGTCTTTACAAAGATCTTGGTTTTGCAGTCATAGCCAGACTCATCACAGGGGACCACATGTACCCCTTGTTGGACAATATTTTAATCACAGCTCCATCTCTGACAACAGGACAAAGAGCCATGTCCCTGACTTTAAACCTCCTGCTGGCACCCAGCTTTACTGTCAGTATCGAGAAAAGCTCCTGAGTTCCGTCCACCAAAATAACCCACTTGAGAGTGGACATAGACACCTCTATAGCAAGGATACCCATGTCTGAAAAGGTTCCAGAAGATTCAGGACCGTCTCATATTGTTTCAGAGCTGCAAGAACCCTACCATAGCACTTAAGCTTCAACAGTTACGCCTCCTAGTTTTGTGCATATGGATCACTCCATCGGTACAGTCACACATCAGGCACTTTCAGGCCTTCATCCTGAAAGTATGGGACCACTGCCTGGAATGCATGAAGGATCAAATAAAGGTTCTGGTGCAGGTGATAGACTCCTTGAAATGGGGGTGACCCCAGGGCAGTGTCCGCAAGGGCATGCTGCTTTCCTGTTCCGCACAACTGATCCCAGCCTGAAGGTCTGGGGAACACACAGCTCAAGGCACCTGGAAGAAAGGACTCAGCATAGACATTCTAGAACTAAGAGCAGTCATGCTTGTGCTATGAAGATTATAGTCCATCTTAGAGGGGAACCACATCCTTAGTCAAACAACGTGATCACAGTCACATGTATGAACAACCAAGGAGGAAAAAGAACCCTAGTGTTACACACCAAAGCAATGGAAATCATGAAGTGGGCAGAACCTTCTTCTCCATCAGGGCAGTTCACACAAAGGGAGACCTGAACCAGAAGGGGTGGAGTGGCTCAGCAGGCGCAAGGTTAACAACTCTGTCGTGCCTGAATCAGGAAGCCTTTGAATTGATCATTGAATCAGGAAGCCTGCGCTCATGTGAGCGGTTTGCAAACCACATGAACACCAAGAGACCAAGATACTTCACCAAGGAGATCAACATGGGAACTTTGATGCCCTATCGCAGAGATAGTAGCAAAGTCTCCTCTGAGTTTCCACCCTTCATGTTATTAAGCAAGTTAATCCAAAAAATAAAACTGGAGCAGGTGACCGTGATACTGATACTTCTCCTTGTCTGAGGAGACCTAATAGCACTGAAATTAGGATTGCCACTACAGCTCCCAAAGAGACAAAACATCCTCTCACAAGGTCGTCTTCATCCGTACCCAAACTGGTTGTATCTAACAGCCTGACTATTGAAAGTGAAGCGCTAGTATCATTGGGCCTTTCTTCGAGAGTCATCAGGACACTTTTCTTCCAGAAGAGCATCGAATTTGAAAGCATACCCCTCTCTCTGTACCATGGGCGCTGATTCTGTGGGGCTCCGGGGCTTGAGCACCCACGGGAAAAAAATATTGGGTGCTCAGCACCCACCGGCCCCATGGATTAGCTCCTCCGCCTCCACCATAGTGCCTCCTGCCCGCCAGTGGGCCCCGCTGATCAGCACCTCCCCCTCCCTCCCAGCGCCTCCCGCCCGCCGCGATCAGCTGTTCAGTGGCAGGCAGGAGGCGCTGGGGCAGAGGGGGAGGAGTGGGGGCAGGAAGAGGCAGGGGTGGGGGGTTGGGGTGGAGTGGGGGCGGGGCCTGGTGCCACCCCTCAGGGAACTCACAAAATCAGCGCCTCTGGTCTGGACCAAGTTCTGCAGATGGCGCCAGGAACACAAGACAAAACCCAGAAATCCAGGAATTCTGGCTAACTTGGGTTTTCTCCAAAAGGGTTTCGACAAAGGTTTCCAACCCAGCATCAGTGCATGCTGGATGTCTGCCCTTAGTAGATTGATATTCAAAGGACCCACAGGTTCATTGGCAGAGAGCCCCCAGGTAGCCAGATTCCTTAGGACAGTCTGATTAGGCAAGCTAGTGATCAGGCCTTTTTTTCTCAAATGGAACCTCCTACTTGTACTGAGGGCCCTGATAAACCACCCTTCACACCACTAATGTCTGTGTCAGCATTTTTTGTCCATCAAGACTTTGTTCATAAAGTGAGTGTCAGAACTGGCAACCCTTTCTATGCAGGAGCCTTACTTCTTGCTTCATGAGGACAAAGTGGTGATCAGGATTCCAGAATCATTTATTCCAAAGGTGAACTCTTCTTTCCATGCATCCCAAGGGGTGATTCTCCTTTCATTTTCACCAAGGTCGCAGCATCCTATCAAGGAAATTTGGCACATCTTAGATGTTAAAAAGGCCCTGAAAATCTACATCAAACGTACAGGGTCTGTGAAGAGAATGGAGTGCCCGACTTGTATCTTTCTACATGAAATGCCAAGAACTCAGAGCATCCAACTTCTTTCTCACTAGTGTATTAGACTATGCATTGCGGAACGGAAGTGTACAAAGCATCGGAGAGTCTGGCTCCAGCAGGGGTCAGGGTACACTATAAGTGATCCCTCATGATCTTATGGGCAGAAAGAGCTAGTGCATCCATACTGGAAATTTGTAAGGTGGCTACCTGATCAACTGCTACTATCTTTATCAAACACTACAAGGTGGACTTCCTGTCCTTGGCCTTGGCATCCTGTGGCAGGAAGGTACTGCAAGCAGTATCCCGGAAATGATTTTGCACTTCGAGCAAATGTTGTAAATAGGAATGGATACTGTTTTTCTAGTCCTCTGACCTTATCCTTTACTCTCCCTACATCTCTTCACTGCTCGCTACTTCCCAGACACCAAGAATGGTGGGAGACGCAGGGCGGCAGAACGGAAAATTTCTTATAATTTCCTTTCTGCTAACAGCATTTCCCACACTTATACCCACACTAAATGACTCAAGGGCCAGAAGGTCAGGTGCTGAGAGGGATCTTTACCATGAGATGGTGTTTTCTGTTTTGGTCCACTGTATATAACAGGCAGTTAAGTATTTCATACTAATACTGTTATACATGTTTTTGCAGTTTTGGAATAACTCATCTGTCCATAAGCAGGAGCAAAGGGAGCATGGCCAGAGCGCAGCTCCAAAAAGTTGATCTGCCTCTGTGAACTGCAAAGTGAGTAGAGCAGCCCAGATGTCAAAAATTGTGGGAGATGCTGCTAGCGGAAAGGAAATTATTGGTAAGAAATTCTCCCTGATTCCGGGTATGTGATCCACCCAAGTCGTCTCCTGCATGATCATAGGGAGCAAGCCTGCTGGGACAGCAGTGGCTGCTCTAGAAAGCTGCAGCAACCATAAGACGACTAGAAGGTGACAAGCAGAGAAAAGTGCACTCTGTGCCCCCTTCCCCCTCCCTCTAAAAGATAGGCTGCAGCTTAGAGAAGGAACACTCTGCAGGAGGGAAGACAGCAAGAAGCCTGGGAAGAAAACTGGGGGTTGGGAAGGAGCTCTTGTGACATCTTTCATTGGAAATGGGGCTAGCCCTGGAAACAGTGGCACTGACCTCCCTACTGCTGATGCTGCAGAGCTGCCAGTGGCCCCACTGAACTTCCCCCATGCCCCAGCATTTTGAGCTGCCGTATGGAAGGGAGGAGATATGTGGGGTGAGTTCCCCCCCACGTATGCAGGACCCGTCTCTCAGAGGGTTCATACAGCCCAGCCGAGGAGAGGCTTTGGGTGTGGAGGGACCTCACAGTGTACATTTCCATTTGCTATGACATAAGTATAGTGGGCTTCCTTTGAGAACAGTGTGCATGCACACCATCTCCTCCATTATTTGCTGTTTGTCCACCTATGCCTAGAGTCACCGTACCCTCCACTATAGGGTGTTACGAGTTCTCTTTCTCAGTCCCCCAGCTCTTTCCTATTACAGTGCATGGGATGTTTCTTGCACTTTCTCCCACACGCCCAGAACTGGTTCAGGGACAGGGGGATCTGTCCAGCCCCATCACGTCTATTCTCTTGTGGTGTTTCCTCCCCTAAGCTGCACAAGATCGTTTATTTGGAGGGGGGCATTCTGCTCCTCAGTAAATTTTTAATGTCTCTGCTGAAGGGCAGTTGGAAAGGTTGGTGTTTATGTAATTACAAAATAAGACCATAAGAATGGCCATCCGGGGTCAGACCAGTGGTCCATCTAGTCTAATATCCTGTGTCCCAACAGTGGCCCGTGCCAGATGCTTCAGAGGGAATCAACAGAACGGGACAATTATCGAGTGTCCCACCCCCAACTTCCAGTCCCAGCTTTTGGCAGTCAGGCTTAAGGATGCCCAGAGCATGGGGTTGCATACCTGACTCTCTTGACTAATAGCCATTGATGGACCTATCCTCCATCAACTTACCTTATTATTTTTTGAACCCTGTTATACTGTTGCCTTCATAACATCTCATGGCGACAAGTTATATAGGTGGACTGTGCATTGTGTGAAGAAGCACTTCCTTATGTATATTGTGAACCTGCTGTCTATTAATTTCATTGGGTCACCCCTAGTTCTTGTGTAATGTGAAGGGTTAAATAACATTCCTTATTCACTTTCACCACACCATTCATGTTTTTATAGACCTGTGTCATATCCACCCTTAGTCATCTCTTTTCTAAGATATTAACAATATATATCTATAAAATTGTATATATTTTATCATCTTCCCCACCTTTCCTATGTCATTCATCATATTAGGCAAGCTCTTCAACACATATACCAACTACCTTTGTGTTTGTACAGCACATAAAATAACAGAGCCATAGACCTGAAGAGAGTCTCTGGGCACGATGCAGTATAACTACTAAATGCCACCAGCTGGCCCTGCCCTTCTGTGGTGGTGATGAATTTCGCATGGGGATGCATTTACCTGAAAATATGGAAGAAAAGGGGAGAGGGTTAGTCAGTAGCCCCAAATGTGTGTTTAAAATTATAGATATAATTTTTAAATACACATTTTAAAGGCCAGTATTGGCAATTTGCTCATCCTGATCTTTGCTTTTAGGAAGTTACTTGAATTATGAGAACTGTGCTTTAAGCTGATTGCATATAGATAAAGAAAGAATGCTTAATATATTCAGACGTCTGTTTGATGGGGTTTTTGGAGAGGGCTAATAGTATGCTTCCCGTTACAATAAAGGGCTGGAAAGAACTCAATAGGTGTTTGGCTGGCTGAATTCCTCTTAAAATAGGTACTTTAAAACTTCTGGGATTTTATTTATTGTGTGGTTAGGGTGCCTAGAGTCTTGGATAGTTGCCTTTTTTACTTTAAATCTAAATAAAATTAAAGATGATAAATGTGCTAACGTTTTTACAGAATGTCTAATACTTAACAAAAAATTATTATTTTCACAGCGTTGCTAGCATGGATGCAGAAAAGACCAAGAGAACCAGTGTGGAAAAGTGCTTGTTTTTTTTAATAATTTTTAGTTTTATTTACAAAACATTTGTAATACTTGAAAGCCCTGAAATGTGTTGTGTTCAAGCGGATGAGCATTCTCAAAATACTATTTTATAAACTTTCCTTTGTAATTTTTTGTTCCACTCGTGAAAAGGTAGTCACAACAATCTATAGCGAGATTTTGACTTTCATTGTGAGGGAGCTGGATAAAATGAAAGCAGCCTTCTGCCACTGAGGCTCTGAAGCAACCAGGTCATTAGTTGCCAATGGGGAAAAAATAACATCTGTGTAAAAACTGTAATCTTATTAGAGCATGTTAATGAGAAAAAGGTTAAAAATAACTTTAAGAAAAGTTTGCTCTTGTTAGTTTGTTTATAGATATTCCAGTATGTGCTTTCAAATTTCCTGTGGATGAACATCCTTTGAGGAAATACCTTTTGAGTAACTTAGTCAGTCCTGGAAGCTGGTGTAACATCTAAATGTATTTTGCAGCATATTATGTTTAACACTGTAGTGTGAAACAAATGTTATGTCACAGGTCTTCCATACAGCAAGTTACCAGTGTTTGTTTTGCAGGAGAGCGCGATATAAATATTAGTTGTAGATTTTGGTTTCACAAACTCATATTTAGACTTCTAAAAAATAAATGTTTGTAAATGTTGCATATGGTCTTTATTTCTTAATTTTGAGGTTATATTTTAAAATTTTCATAGATGAAAAATGTAGTGCAATAGAAAAATGACACTGAGGTTTTTGTATTGCCAACATGTAGCACAGTGTAAATGCATCAGGCCAACTCCTAGTTTTTGAAGTGCTGCATAAAGATTGTGGCAGTTCATTATAAAGCTGTTAAAAGTCAGAATTTCCACTTCAGGGGAAATTTCAACATTTTAGAATTTCCCACAAAACAGAATTTCCAAAAAATTTCTGTTTCAGTATTGTGAAATTTGCTTCAAATTTTATTGTATGGGTCTTTTCATTTATATATTTTATATTATTTCATAACATGTCAGAAGTATTAGTACATACTACATATGTCATAATGTCAGAGGTAATGTAATAGTTGAAAAAAACTATTTTCATTTTATTTTTAAAATCAAAGGCACCTGTTACTTAGTACTAATTGAAATGTCATCTTCTCCAGATCAGAGTGCCTCCTGTGTGTGTTTTAATAAAACAAATTGATGACAATGTTTGTAAAAATCAACATTTTTCAAAATATGATGATTTCAATGAAAATGGCATTTGTCTGCCAAAAAAAAAAAAGTGTAACTAAAAGTTTGACCAGCCCTACTTCATTATTTGACAATAGAACAGTTAAGCATTGTAAACAAAAATAGGTGAACTTAGACCCTGATTCAGCAAGGTACTTCAGCACATGTCTAACGTTAAGCATGCAAGTAGTCCCAGAGTTAGGCAAATCCTGTTACACCATTGAGTTCAAATGCTGATCTTACTGTTACACTTGTCCATGCAACCCCACTGAGGGCAGGATTTGATTGGATTTTTGTTGATCATTCTGGGATCTAATCCAGCTCTGTTATGTAGCTGTGTTGAATCTGCAGGGCTCCTAGGAGTAAAAATGCATGGTTAAATACTAAACGCAGGTATGACTAAGAGTACAGGATATATTGGATGTGTGCCATTTTTACACAGTCACTTCTCAGGGTAGAGCTCCACCAAATGTCAATAGGAGTAATTTGTGGTGTACTTGAAGAAAGCACTGAGCTCAAGATTAACCCCCACACCCATCAGGCTCTTGCCTACCTTTAATTACTAGTGAGCCTGCTGTGGATTGAGCCTTGTTAGCTCATTAGTAGTCCACCACTAATCACCTTATTTTAAAAAATGGTATTTCCAGATAAGGATGGGCTTAAGTATATTATGCAGGTGAAGCCACTTAACTTTGCAGGAGGTAATAGAGTCAAGGTAATAAATTAATCAATTGTAACATCTTTTATAGTCCTTTATCCAAAGTTTTAGTACTGAAGGATTAATGTATCAAAGTCTTAAGGAAATGCAGTTGCCCTAATGAAAAGGTAAGAGGATTATCAGAGGCTTTTTATCTACATGAGTGAAGCCTGCCTTCCTTAGCATTTCAACTGGCCACCAATATTTTTTTTCTTCTTTCCTCCACTCATTTTTGAAGTCTGTCCCTAATGGCTGCCATCCTTCCTTAAGCCTAAGGCAGTGGGGCCCAACATTAAGCAGGAGGTCCACATAAACCTAAGCACAACCTTGTGTGGACCAAACATGATGACAAAACACTGAGTCAGCCGTTAGTATATTGTGTTAAAGCAGGCTGCGGGCCTTATGAAATGCTCTAGTGGGCCGTGTGCGGCAGGGGCCATAGGTTGGGCACTCCAGCCCAGGGAAGATGAAGCAGTTCTGTCCTATTGAGATAGAGCACTTTGGCCTGTAATGGGGTATAGGTTCTGGATCCCTTCCAGGTGTAAGTCTGATCCAAAGATTGCTGCAGTCAATGGAAAAATTCTCTTGACATCAATTGGATGATAGACCCCCAATAGTTATTCAATAAGAGAGACCCAACAATTTGTGGTTGTGGTGGGAATTCCCTGTAAGGTGAAGCACTGACTACTCTTGGAAACCTCAAAAATGACAGCTGTAAGGTTGAGTGTTGTGTGACCTTATTTACTGGTTCCAAGCTAGCAGATCTCCTCATATTACAACAGATGGCAGCAGAGCAAAGGATTTTGCTGCCCAAAATAAATTGGAGATCTTTCCAAGCATCTAACTTTTCTTTTTCCTAAATGAGTGAAACTATGAATATGCTATTTTTGTGGGCATATATTCAGTGTCACCAAAGGCTCTTAAGCAAAGTAAGCTGGCATGGGAAAAGAGGAAAGGCCCTCTCATGGATCAGTAACTGGTTAAAAGATAGGAAACAATGGGTAGGAATAAATGGTCAGTTTTCAGAATAGAGAGAGGTAAATTATGGTGTACCCTAGGGCTCTGTACTGGGACCAGTGCTGTTCAGTGATCTGGAAAAAGGGGTAAACAATGAGGTGGCAAAATTTGCAGATGATACAAAACTACTCAACATAGTTAAGTCCAAAGCAGACTGTGAAGAGTTAGAAAGGGATCTCACAAAATTGGGTGACTGGGCAACAAAATAGCAGATGAAATTCCATGTTGATAAATGCAAAGTAATGCACATTTGAAAACAATCCCAACTATATGTATAAAATGATGGGGGTCTAAATTAGCTGTTACCACTCAAGAAAGAGATGTTGGCGTCATTGTGGACAGTTCTCTGAAAACATCCGCTCAATGTGCAGTGGCAGTCAAAAAAACAAACAGAATGTTGGGAATCATTAGGAAAGAGGTAGATAAGACAAAATATATTGTATCTGTATAAATCCATGGTACGCCCACATCTTGAATACTGCGTGCAGATCTGGTCGCCCCATCTCAAAAGAGATGTATTGGAATTGGAAAATGTTGAGAAAAGGGCAACAAAAATTATTAGAGGTATGGAACAGCATCCATGTGAGGAAATATTAGTAAAACTGGGACTTTTCAGCTTGGAAAAGAGACAAGTAAGGGTGGATATGATAGAGGTCTGTAAAATCATGACTGCTATGGAGAAAGTAAATAAGGAAGTGTTATTTACTCATAAGACAAGAACTAGGGGTTGCCAGATGAAATTAATAGACAGCAGGTTTAAAACAAACAAAAGGAAGTATTTCTTCACATAATTTACAGTCAACCTGTGGAACTCCTTGCCAGAGGAGGTTGTGAAGGCCAAGACCATAACAGGGTTCAAAAAAGAACTAGGCAAGTTCATGGAGGATAGGACCATCAATACCTATTAGCCAGAATAGGCAGGGGCGGTGTCCCTAGCCTCTGTTTTACCAGAAGCTGGGAATGGGTGACAGTTGATGGATCACTTGATTACCTGATCTGTTCATTCCCTCTGGGGCAGCTGGAATTGGCCACTGTCGGAAGACAGGATACTATGCTAGATGCACCTTTGGTCTGACCCAGTATGGCTGTTCTCATCTTATGTCACCTACCCTCAAGAACAGTTACCGTTTTCACTTGAGGCCAGATAAGACATATTTCAATTGAATCAAGGAGACTATCAGATATTAAAGCCACTATACATGAATATAATTTAGTGACAATGTTTTGCCTATCTTTTTGTTAAACATGCGGTGGTCTTTGGTTTAAACATTTACCACAAGAGCTCTTCCTTAAGCGGACTATAAATGTTAAATTACAATTTTAAATGTTCTAACAGTGGAGGAAAACTCCAATGCACCATCAGCCTTTACCACCTGGAGGAGCTATGCTACATTTTGTGATTTTAAAAAAAAAATTGATTTTTTTCACAAAAATGGAAAGGACAAAAAGGTAAATGATTTACAGCATGTACATGAACACCAGAGTTATGAACTGATCAGTCAACCACACACCTCATTTAGAACCAGAAGTAGACAATCATATGCTTCAGAGGGTCTGAAATCGAATTATGCAGTTTTTTAGCTCCTCAAAGCTACATGAGCAAACAGTACTACATAGACATAACATATTAAGGTACCCGCTTTTCTTTTACACAAATGCAAAGGGTATGTAATTTTTAATTATTTATGGACATGATGTAGCCATCAGGATTTATGCAGGAGGACTCTGTTGAGTCACCGGGCTGGGTTCTACTTAAAAGCGGGATGAGACCGTATGGCCCAATGATTTTAGGTGCAAGAATTCAGTTGCGGTGGCCGAATCATGGTCAGTTAGTTACTCGCTAAGGGACAATATTGAATGTGTGCCGCGAGTTTTACACCGCTATTTAAAAAGTGTAGCGATGGTCTGGACCTTTATAATAATAGACGGGAAAAGTGGACTGCCCTTGGGCCGGTCCCTTTAAAGCTAACACGCGTGAAATTATTATTAGGGCAAGTTATTGACGGTAATGATTAGATACCCGGAAACCCTCAAACACGTGGGGAGGCGGTAAAACCACAGCTGCAAAGTGGCCCTTTCACCTGGGTGCATTTGCAGTGTCCCCGTGGCGAACGAGGGCAGTTTGTACAGGCAGGATCACGTTCCCACCTATTAAAAGGAACCAGTTTCCTAAATGTGGCTCCATGGCAGCCATCCAGCCCTGTGCTTTGCCGGGTTTCCCTTCCCCGTAGC